ACCGCACTAGCCTGTCAAAGACATGATTTCTCCTGCGTTCTGCTCCTTGCTTACCCGACTCTGAGTCCTCTCTCTGTCTTTCTTTGTTCCTGTCTTCAATTCGACATCTGTCAGCATTTGCATTAGGCGATCTGCAATGCATTCTCATCATCTAACTTACGCTTTTGACCATGCGTCTAAGTGCGACGCACATGGCACTTCCGTTATGGGTAGGTTTAGGTGTGGGGTAGTGTTAGTGTTAGACCACTAGGGGGTGCCTTCTGGCCCATATATATCCGCGTCTCATATTGACGCTAAAGGGTGCTATGTGCGCCGGATGTTGACGCATGGTCAAAAGCGTCAGTTAGATGACGCCTTGGGATGAGAACGGGCTGCGACTCGAGCCCCCCACATGCCAAAAAAAAAAATGTCCACCCAAAACACCGAAAATGAAGTCTAAAACCTGTCGTTTATAGTTGTCAATTATTTTAATATGAGGAAAACTGGCAGGACCTTGCCAGTAATGTGTTGAAGAAAATGAGAGGGTGACTGAGGAGGAGGAGTTTATGATGGGTTAGGGGGTCCATGGGGGGAGATGGAGACAAAAAAGGAAACTCTTTTATCAATTTCATCAAAATCAATTAGAAGCCAGAGTCTACTGATGGGGCACTGGGTGGTGGAGGGAGTGTGAAATCCTGGGGCATGGGAGGAGATACAAGCCCGTGGGGACAGAGGAATTGATGAATAAAAGACTCCCGGGGTCGGGGACACTCTGAGTGGAACATGCTGGAACTCAGCAGCTGCAAATTGAGCTGCCAAAGCTCCTCAATCTCCTCTGGGGGTGGGAAAAAAAAAAAAAGAGCGAGGAGAAGAAGAGCTTAATGGTGACTGTCATTTTGTCTGGTGGGACTGGGAACTCTACAAATAGCCTTCAACCAGACCTCTGGCCTAGAACAAGCAAAATCAGCAGTCAATCCTTAAGATTTACAGATTTGTTTGGGCCCATAGGGGGCTGTAAATGCTCTTAAAGGGATGTGAAAAGTAAATGCAGAAGTATTTCATGGTTGTATGCTATTTCTATCAGGTACCATCATTCTCAAGAGTCTTTTGCTTGTAACCTGATGTATAATTCAATGCAGGGAGGCTTTAAACACAGAGGGAAGGTTTCAGTCAGTGACTGAGCACTGTAGGTAATTCGGGCCTAATTCAACCATTAGTCTTGCCTCTTGACCACCACAACCCTGGTACAGTAGCATTAGCCCAATCTCCTACGCTTTCCTGTCAAGAACACACCATCTCCCTATAAGTGCAATGCTGTGTGCCATAGAAGCTTCCATAAATTCCTGTATTCTTGAAAGAAAAGGAGTGCAAACTGCAGGAAATAGACATAGATCCTGGTAATAGAATAAAAAGGCTATGAAGGAAGCACCCCTGAGGAAGTTTGTGTATTGTGTATTAAGAGACTGTAGTCCTATGAGGGCTTTTTTCCTCCGTTCTCACACTAGATCTCACAATGGAAGAGAAGTTGGGGAGGAGCCATTTTAAATCGGAGGTAACACTGTGTCCCTGGTGCAAACGTTAACTTTTCAAAGAGCTGCGTGAATCATAAACATTTACACTGCAAGGGAGCCTGGGGAACGAGACAGAAGGGAGCTTACTATCCCTCAACTTCCTGCCTCTGTTTGTTTCCAGAAAGAATGAGGGTAAAAAAAACAACATAAAAACAAAAGCAAAAGGGGGAAACAAAGGAGAGTCTTTATATCCAGACTCGCTGTTTATGTCCTTTGGCAATTGCAGTTTAAACTTGTTTCACTGTACTAAAACAGTTAAAGGGTAGATCAGAGGTATCCCCACTACAACTGCTGTATGCCTTAATGTCTTGGTGAATGAGTGTGTCTTTTTCCTAGCTGGAAATTCGGTTGTTTTTAGGGAATCTATGATCGTGTAAATTTATTACACTAATACCAAACCCTTTTATAAAGAGCCTCTAAACGTGAGGATCCATCAGAACTTTCGGCAAACAGTCCACCTGAGATTAATGAAGCCGTTTCATCTTGGGTTTGAGAGATTAAATTGTTTTTAGCCAATTTAGTCAGTGAGTCAGGTTTAGTAATACAATAAAGTACAACAGTTCCTGCCCTATTTTTTAGTAGCCTTGGCTCCAGATGTAGTTTCCCATATGGATTGTAAAGAGTTATGAGCCATGAACCAAACCAACAAGCAACGAGGTGAATCACAAAACGCGAACTCTGAGGAAAAAAATGAATAAGGAGAAGAAACTACAATCCTATGAATAGTGTTGAGTTCAAAGTTAAGTTCACACATTTTAAAATGAACTAGTTCAGTTTGTAGTTCATACTTCAAAAAATGAACTAGTTCTTAGTACTTTTTTCCATATTTTGCAAGCTTCTTTTTTAATATATATATATATATATATATATATATATATATATATATATATATATATATATATATATATATATATATATACGTATATATATATATATATATATATATAATATATTTTCTTTTTTTTTAATTATTGCCACAGCCCATATACAACCACAGACAACAATTATTTTATTGATGGGCAGTTTGCTCAGAAATGTAAGATTTTTCCCATCCTCACTGACATCGTCATAAAACCCCTTTAAATTATCATATACGACACCTCCTCGATTGCTGCTTGGTCGACGGTGGCCGCGGTGTGACACTGGTGGCTGGTGTTGCCAGATTGGGTGTTTTTCAATACATATTAAGGTCTTTTTACGTTTGTTTTAGCCGGGTTTGCACCTGGAAGGCTCTATAGAAATCTGTCACCCGATTGTATGAAGTTAAACTGAGAGAGTGTGCGTCCACAGACACCAGAATGAACGAGACGTCAACGTTCATCAGGCAGTAATACAGTACATTTAGTTCACGTTCGCCCAAAATATGAATGCATACGTTCATGGAACGCATTCAGGCACAACACTGCCTATGAAGCTTTGCTAATGACAATAAAATAAATCAATTATGAATAAATGTAAAACTATTTGTTTAAATAAATGTAAATCTATCCATCCTAATTTTGATTTAATTTATTTATTTATTTTGCAGAATAGTGGGTAATGTAGTTTTTCACTAGGAATGTTGCTGTTAAACATGTTTTTCTTTTTAAAAATAATGTGAGTTGATAGTTTCAACAAAAACAGATTTTTTTTTTTTTTTTTGTATTTCCGGAACAGTTGCAATTACAATTACAAAGATTGTTATGGCAAATTAATTCCATCATATTTCTGCATAATAACGTCCATTGTCAGTTAATTTCATAGACTTTTAAAGGACTCAAATGAAAGTCGTCTGTTCACTGCATTGCTTTCCATTGTAAAGAAGCCAGTAACTGCTGCAGAATAATATGATAGAAGACATGCCTCAAAATGACATTAGTATCTGATATTTGTCACCGTCCAATGGATTTGGTTAAAACCGATGACAGCACCGTTGAAGTGTGTGCTCATTATGCTTATCTGCTATCCTTTATTTTCAATGTTTGCTTGCTCATGAGCAGATAAGAGCTTTGCTAATGATAAAATGGCTGACCTGGAAAAGCTTCATCTATTTGAAACATTCTCTGTACATTTTTCTAGTTGTGTCCAATTATGTAAGTGCCGAGCTCGAGGGTATGTCAGAGTGCATTTTATGAGTCCTATACTGTATATTAATTTCCCTTACAGAGAGACGTCTACAACAGCTTAAACTGTAGTCATGATGAGACATACTAATTGCTCATTAGACGTTGACAGGAAGTTGGCGGTGAAAGAAATGCAGAAAGATCTCCATCATGGAAACCCAGAGGCTCGTAATTCCTCTCAGCGGTTTCCATAGTGCAGACATAACATGGATGCCACGGTGACCCTAGCAACGCTCAAACAAATGTACATATAAACATTTAAATGGGTTGTCTAGTCGCCATACCTCGTGTGAATCATCTGGAGAACAAACCTGTTAATTAGAGCCATAGAGCACACGATCTGGACCAAATAAGCTTTACAGAGGGGAAAAAGCACAACGAGGAAGAACAAGCTAAATTATTGTATAGCCGTTAACTCTGTCTTTTCTCATCCCTAGCTCTTTTATTAGGCTGGCTATTCTTCTCTAAACAAGACACCAAGATCTGTAAGCGGCAGCACTGTGAATCAGACGCAGCCAAGCTTGATTTAGCGCGTCACAGGCGATTCACAATGCCTCATGTTCTTTAAACTCCAATCAGAGCAACTGTCTTGCCGATTTTAATGACCAATTTTAATTTTGGTTAAAACGATTTGAATGATTCCTCCCTCAGAAATGCTCCATTTTCTATACAGCATTTAGCAAATGTCAAGGTCTCATTGTAATTCAGAAAACTGCTTGACTAATTTCCATCCGACAAGAATACGTAGAGTTTTTCTCTATTGACTATTAGCGGCTGCGAGAGGTGTTCAATTGTTCTAAATTACATAGATCAAAGGCTGATTGAGCATGACAACACAAAACAATCGGTGCAATAAAACCATTCGGAGCCTTCCTTTGGTCTTCTCCGCGCTTTGATTCTGAGTAGCGCTGCCACTCGTTGCTCTATAACTTTGAAGCGTTGAGTGGCAGTAGCGGAGAGTGAACATGACCTCTTACTGACTCCTGCCATCATACAGGATGTCTTTAACGGCAGTTGGGAAAAAAGAAACATCAACATTAATTCCCTGCTAAATGATCCAAGTGAATTATGCATGAGGAGACTGCGTGATATGTAGATTTCCACCTTCAACCTTTGTCAGCCTAATTGCTGCCATTTAGGTCTGGATCTGAAGTGTAGCAGTCGACTGCAGACGTTGCTCACATCCGTCAATAATGTTCTCGGGCTCGTATCAAAGACTCCAGGAAGAGAAGTGCTGCCTGTGCATTAGTGAGGCGCCTCTGGGCCAACTCTGCCTGCGAAGCTAAGTCTTGATTTTTTTTTTTTTCTTCCTATATGCATTCAGCTAGTCAAGATCTTTCTGTCTTACCTTGGTCATGTAGCTGCGAGTTGTTGGGGGGTACGGTCATATTCAGTACGTCGTTGACAGCCGTGTCAGCGTAGTGCCCTCTCTGAACATCATGTTCGCTGTCGGTTTGGTCACTCTCCTCGTGCCCGCTGTCCTTCAGACTGTTTCCTTCCATGTCCTTGAATGTTGACGTGCTAGAGCCAGATGAAGGAGAAAAGACAAGAAAGAAGGATAGTGTTATTTAACTGTCAACTTTGGTTCCATCATTCACTCTCTCTTCACCCCGTGCTACCTTTATTTATCTTCCAGCCACACAGAGAGTGTAGCTGAAAAAGGGTTTTTTTTTTTTTCACGAAATGACCCCCGATAAAGGATCGGGGGTCAATGGCCTGCACTCACTTTGGCTGTGCAGAGCTCTTTTGTGTTGCTACGGTCAAAGTTCCTACATTTTCTAAGGACTGTTTCAGAAATACGTCTGTTGATTGCAGAGGCATTTATGGGGTAGTTGACCCAAAAAATGAAAACTCTGTCATCGTTTACTCACCCTATGTCAGACTCTCAAACTCTGGCTTTCTCTCGTCTATGTAACATTTTCTCTATTGAGTTGCCAAAATACAAAATTAGCTAAAAAAAATATTATAAAATCAGTGCATATGACTTGACGGATTTGGAACAGACAAAAATGAAGGCATATTAATGATAATGTAAGTTGAACTGTATGTTAATATTGTACAAAATGACTTCTCTAAAAAACTTTTATGATATTTTTTTTTTGCCTCTTTAACTTTCATTGTATTGATACAATTTTCTTAAAATCTGCAGTAACACTTTACAATAAAATTAACAATTATTGAAAAAAAATGCCCATTTTTAATCTTAGCTACTTTTAACATTGTCTAATACATTATTAAAATCAAAAGTTGAATCTGTTAACATTATTCAGTAGACCTGAACAAGTACTAACAATGAACAGTTTTATTTGTATATTCTGGCATTAAAAATGATGAATAAATACTGTAACGAAGGTACTGCTCATTTTAATTTAGATAAGACATTAACCAGTGTTAACTAATGGACCCTGGGGGTGTGTAAAAATAACAATCACTTTAAAAAAGTATATATTTTTTTTTAAAAGATGTGAATCGTAAAATAAAACTGCACAGATATCTTGTATATCATCCCTGCATACAATATGATCCACCAATATTTATGGTTAATTTTCCTGGAAAAAAAATACTTTAGAATTTTGACAAAAGCTACAATTATTTTATTGCATGGTTGTTATTTTTTACGTAAACAAAACCTGGCCACTTCCTCTTATTTAGGAGAGCTTATGTTGGTCACATAAACCCCTGGATGTTTAAAAAAAAGAGAGAAAGATGTTTAATAATTTTAGCAAACTGTGCTTTTCCTCTTTACCCACATTATATGACTTGATAAAGCGAGAGGGGTAAAAAAAAAAATCCTGCCAAGAGACAGCTGCAGTGAACAAGCCTGATTTCCCTTAATTTGATAGTTAGCCCAGTGGAACACATTCAGCCTCTGAAGCAACAGCGAGGATCAGAAACGCATGTATACACATACACACACAGACATACATAGACAAAAGCATGTCTGCAGCCTCTTCCAAGGAGAAAGAGAAGAGGGAGAGAGGAATTCTAGCAATGTCACTGCAATGGTGGTAGTGCAGTCTCTGATTTTATCAGTCTAATTGCACCTGTCCCAGTCTGCACTCCCACAGGCACCGGGGATTTCTTTGTAGTGTAGAAGAGCCAAACAGTCGACACTTGAATACTCTTTGTTTATGTACACATGCAGTGCTTTTTCAGAAGATAAAATTGCTGTAATTGGTTTGAAAAATGCGGTACTGAGGTAAAACTGAATGTTATTTTTTTTGTTTTGCTCCGTGTAAAAGAGGCATTACAGTCCCTGTGCTCATCCATAGCGGCCAGGGCCCCAGGCGGCCAAGGACCTTCATTAGGGATGTCTGCATGCCAATGTTCCCTGCCAGTCAAAAGCCTCCTTTTATGTGGACTGAGGAATGCTAGCCAAGTCCTGCCAGTACAAAGGATCTATTGTCCTTGCTCCTTTCTTCCACAGTGCAAAATAACGTTACCTTTTCCTTATCTCCGTGGCCTTACAAAGACCTCCTTGTGTGCACTGAGGGAGAATCCTTTGGAATTCCGGGATTAAAATTCATGTAGATTTAGCTATCAGATTAACATCTACACAGATGTAGCTTAACCGCACAAGCCTCCTCCGCTCTGGGCTACAGTTTTAATATTCTCTAACATGTAATATGTATACACACGTTGGGGATGCAGGGATTTTATGGAATTATTCATATTAGGGGGGGGGGGGGAGGATGTGCTTAAACACTTACAATACTGAATTATTAAAGCTTAACACTGGCCATTTATAAACATTTTGAGCATTAATATCTTGCTTATACGATATGTGGAGTGGCAACTCTAAGACTGAAAATTGGCATCTGACATGGGAAATATCGTAAGTTTTTGTTGTTCGATAAAGAGTTGTACATTGTACTGTAATTGTATATCCACCTATTGAAACTAATATGCAAAAAACATCTCGTTCCGAAATATGTGACAATTGGTACACCCAGTTGACGTGAGAAAAAACAGAATATATAGCCTACTATAATAATAGTATTGCTCTTTGCACGTGAAAATAGGATTTTTAGCATAATACAAAAGAAAATATGAAAAACAAAACAAGCTATGATCTGACCGCTTTAAGAATGCATCAAAACAAGTTAGATAAGTTAATCTGATTGCTTTATAAAGACATACCTTTTAATTAGGTGTGCTCTGCTGTTTACATAACTGGAGTCAATGGAATAATTCTCCGTCTGGGGGAAAGAGAAAGAATTAAAGAGGGAGAGAGAAAGAAAGAGAGAGAGAGAGAGAGAACAAAAATGAATTTAATTATGCAGCAACCAAAATAATGTCACCAGTAATTGCCTTTCAATATAAATGTTATTTTACACAAAGACTCTAGTTAGCTGCCTGGACTTTCAAAGGCAAACTCCCCCATTCTCTTTCTAAGCACATGTGGCCTGTTCTGCTGCAGTGAGTCTGCTCCTGTCGTCACTCCTCCAGCCTCCCCCACCCAAAAAAAAAAAAAAAAAAAAAAAAAACATCCTTAGTCAGACCATGCCCTTCAAAGTGTCATTAAGCCAGACTGGGGAATAGACGAGGGGTTTTGGGGGTTAGAGAAGAAAGTTTCCTCTCTTCGAGTGCTGCTTTTCCTCACAACACTTTTGAAGATGCTAATGTAGAAATATCAAAGAAATAAATATACAGCGGGAAGAAATTAAGAGCGTGCCAGGGGATTTTTTTTTAACTTTGCAATTGCAGATGAAAAGGCCTCAATGATCTGCATTTGATGACTCTTTGACCCACATTGAGAAAGAGACTTCAGAGTCTTCAGGAAGGCAGCGCTTTCTAAATAAATGACTAGAAGTACACAGTAGAACTGGGTGATACATTTATAGAGTATTCACAGTATATTTGTGCCGCTATTGCTGGCGTTGTGAAATTAAATCAACATGAATAATGCAAAGATTTCAATGCACTTCATATTTGGTCATTAAATTTTGTAAACAGCATGACTAATTTCACAATACTCTTTGACTTGTCTTTGCAGGAACTAGAGTGTTGAGAAAGACCTGTTCCCAAGTCTTGTTGGTAAGTTCAATAAATTGACTAATGAATCACTTTAAACTGTTCATTTCAGTGAATCGGAACTCAGTTTGATTCAATATTTGATTTGATAGCTTATTAAAGCTAATTAAATGTCCTTATTGAACTAAGGCCTAGTCCTAGCTTAATCTAAGCCCTGTTTGTGAAACCAGGCCTAGATTCAACAATAAATTTGATTGGTCAGAAAATCTCCTCATGGCATTTTTCAAATTTAAAATGATAAGTATAAACACATGCAGCTTAACATCACTGTAAATGGCTGTTGCTTAATTGGTGCAAAAAAAAAAAAAAAGGATAAGAAATATTATGTTCATTTAGTGGGAATTTCTGTTTTCCAGTTTGGATTAAACATTTTGAATCTAACTGGCTACTATTGATGCAAGCATTTTCCCTGGGGAGAAACCTGCCTCTCAGATTCAACTTCAGCTGATTCTAAACTGAGATAGAAAATAGTTCAATGGCTTCCTTCCAGGGGTATGTCTAGCCATCAGCCCCTCTGACAACAGCAGTCACCCAGACGATAAGAAGGTTAATGCAGAAAGTGCAACAAGACCAATGATTATGCCACCAGCCAGGGACCTCCACACTAGCTGCTGAGAGACAGATACTAGCTATCATAATCACAGATGAAACAACTCTGCATAAAGTTCTATGATCCCAAAAACATGCCCATTTCCTTCATCTGTGTATATCACCAGTGACTAGGAGATACCTACAGAGCAATTCAACAATTACATAAGTGACATGTTAGCAGGATTCATTTCACAATGGATTTATTGGATCCTATTTCTGTAAACATACTTTTACTGGTTTTTAATATGTTTAATATTAAATTATATTTAGCAACAGAAGCATGCATGGCAGATTTAGCCTGCCAAGACCAAATTGTCACGTAATTGTCATGATTGAATTAATTTTAGCAATATATATTTAAATAAAATATATCATATCTTTAGATGGCTGTTAAATATATTTAAATTAAATAAATACATTTAAAAAATCTTGTTTTTTATAGTAAAGTAATGGTTATCACTGTCCACCTCAGATCTTCCATCTCCAGTCAGTAAGCTGCTGCTTACTGCCTCACCTCCACACTTCTTAATTACCTCAACACATGATAATATTTTAATTGCAAGTGACGAGTGACCAGGCGTCTAATTGAGATATACCCTCTGAACGTTCTCTGGTTCACTGGTTAACGTTCTTTTTTATGTGTGTGTGTGTGTGTGTGTGTGTGTGTGAGGTTCCCTGTGTAGGTGTTTGCTATGTTTCTAATTAAACCTTAAGTCATTGTAATCACAGAGATAATTTGTAAAAAGCCATTTTAATTAACATTATATTAGCAGACCTCAATTTGTTTGTTCTCGTTGTAGCTCACAAGTTAGTTACTTGCCTCTTTGTCTTTGTCAGGGCTTACTCTATTAATATCAAAGTAACAGGCGTGAGCAAATATTTCAGAACTGATGTCTCTCTCTCTCTCTCTCTCTCTCTCTCTCTCTCTATCTCTCTCTCTCTCTCTCTCCATATATATATATATATATACTCTTAGAAAAAAAGGGTAAAAACCCATTTTTAACCCCTTAAAAGGTTCTAGCAATGCTAAGTATTTGGAACCCCTAAAATGCTCTATACAATGAATGTGAATGATCATAAAATCCAAGATATGAGGGTTAGAAAATGTATATATTTATATCCTTTTATGTAGTTAATCAATATCACACGAAGAGTGCCTCTTTCTCTTCCAATAATAAGCATGATTACAATGTGATATTAAGTTACTACAACAGTTTAATAAAAAATAATTGAATTCCAAAATGTTACAGAATAATGTAATATATTAATGAATAATAGCCAATAAAAACCTTTGTGCCAAAAGGGTTCTTTCTTGTCATTATTGAACCTTTTTTAGCTTAAAAGTTTCTTTGGAACCCTATGCTTCATATAAAGAACTCCAATGAACCCTTTTTTTTTTTTTTTTTTTTAAGAGTGTACACACCACAGTTCTGAAATATTTGCTATAGATAGATAGGTGTGTGTGTGAGTGTGTTTTATGGCACCTGTGCTCTACTTTAGCTCCTGTGAGAACTCATTACAGAACCTTTCCATCTCTACAGTCACCCACAAAAAGACTAATGAACAGCAATGGACTGAGTAACAAGGGGAAAGATTCATTAAAAAAGACAGTATACAAATTTCCAAATGATGTGCTTCTATGTGGCTGGTTCTAAGCTGCGTTCTCCAGATTTCTGCTGGTAGAGCGAGAGGTCGTCCTCCTTGTGCATCAACACATACGAAGCTTTGCTCTCACTCTCCTCGGCCACGGCACTTAAAACAAATGAGAGCGCTGTTGAAACGCAGTTACACTGCACGGATCACTAACCCTTTTACGAGAAGAGTCACTGTCTATGATGCAGGCTCCGTCATCTCAGCAGATTTCCTTCTGTTGACATTTTGATCTCTCCGCTTATATCAGAATGGGCTAATTGGAGTAATAGCTTCAGATATGCAAATGCAGCTGCTGTTCCATAAAGTCGTCTCACTGCTGAAGATTAGTAAACACTTCAGTACTGAATTCAAGCAGACATCAACACGTTCTTTATAAGAGTAAGCATCCCCCAAAAAGGGATATCAATTGTATTCTGCAATGTTCTTGTGTTTTTCATTAATTCAGGTTGATGGCCAGAGGGCATTTAAGAGGCGCCCTTGGCCCTCAGAGGTCTTTATGCCAGAGAGCTTTCATGCATTAGCTGCAATCTTCCTGTAAAGTAATGTACTGTATGCCTACACCGCTGACCGCCATCAAATCATAAGGACTATCAATATTTCTTTCAAAGAGGTTGGGTTTCAGGCTCAGAGATGAGGGTTGCTTAAACTACAGACGAGCTGCCACAAATGGCTACTTAATCAGGTTCTACAATGTGTTGTTATGATCCGAGCGGCCCCAGTTTGGCGGCCAGTGTCACCCTATCCCTGTAATTATTGTTGTGTTTCTTCCCACATACTTAAGGGTCTGGTGGGGCAAATCGCACCCTAAGAGCTCTGTGAGTGAAGGTGGAAAGGCCGGAGAGGAAAGTAATGGAAATGGGGTGGTAAACAAGAACTACGCAGAGCTAAGCGACACCCTAACCTAATTTTTCTCTCTCTCTTTCTTTCCAACCAGCCGCATCTAACCCCAACCGAACTCTTCCAACTTCAGCTAGTGGAGAGGAAAAGCAATCTCCTCGCTTAGTTGCCACTGTGAGATTTGATTTGCCTTCTTCCCAGCGTGACAATTGGTTCCATAGTCCGGATGCGAGAGCGTTCATTGTACAGAGGCCAGATGCAACGAGCGAGCGGAGCAGGAGTTCTTCAGGTGACAAAAAAATGGGAAAACAACATAGGCCTACTTGTCACACCTCAGCAGCAATTTATGTATTATCTCTTCTGAAACTGATACATCAGCCAATACGTGCATTTACACATGCAAATTATGCACCAATTCAAACTACACGCTAGAACGGCAATTAATAATTATCAGACTGTACCCTTGTTTTCACCACCGTAGATAAAATGCCTATTAAATTGATTCCAGGACACAAAACTAGTTAATCCGAGACACCGGGTCAAAATTTTTAACTAGCAGAAACTTTCCCAGCATTATCTAATTAAATATGCACTAATTTGCATATATATATATATATATATATATATATAAAAAAAATCAAATCTGAGGATTGGATAAAGCCAGGTTCAAAATTATAAATAAAATGTGTCTTGAAGATCAGGGTCCCCTTTTCTTCTTTATACCTCCACTAATGTTCAAATGCTCCTAATATCTCAGTCAGAGGTATATATATATATAAACAATAAGACGGACCTCAGTTAAAATTAAACCATTCCATTACTCATTTCAATAGCAGTTTGGTGCTCGTAGTTATTTGGAAGCTGACTCTTCAGTCATCTTAAAGCTTATTTGCACAGTCCCAAGAGTGCTGGGAGGAAATCGGTACTCATAATGAGTCCTGTTTATTTACCTCCATCCACAAGGAGCCTTGACGAGAGGTTATCATGAGGCAAAAGCAGGTTGTGCATTGCTATGTTCTTGTTTTAAAAAAATGGCAAAACTGGAGACCGACTTTGTTGAGCAGAGCTTAGTGATATGAGCAGAAATGAGCCTGTAGCAAGGGTGGCATTTTCCACGGAGGCTTAGGAGATGTCTATA